ATATATCACATCTACTCTAAGACCATCAAGTTCTACTGCTGGATATCTGAAGTTTAAAAATGACAAGACTAGAATGGATGGCCCAAAAATCTGCAAAAGGGGAACATTATCATGACAACGGCTTACAAAACCGTGGCAGAAATAAATTTCGTTTCGTGCAGAAAATGGTTTACTTTAAAACGAAACTGCTGCATGCTACTATGCACCACAAATACCATAGAAACAACACTGATAAGAAAAATAAAAAGACTTACAGGCTGTCTAGTTTTCTTGATAACGTTAGGGTCCTTCAACTTTTTAATTTTCTTCCTCTCCGTGCCATCTTCAGCAACAGCACCACTGGCTTCAAGTTTTTTCCGCTCCTCACGTTCTCTACGTTTCCGTTCCTTCTCTTCACGTTTCCGACGTCTTTTTTCCTTCCGCATTTTTCGCTCTGCAGGATCCAGTAGGCTCTCCCTCTCACGACGTTCTTTACGTCTTCTAGCCTTCTCAGCCTTACGTTCACGCCTCAAACGTCTCTTCTCCTCTCTGCGTTCCTTTTCTAATTGCGCTTTACTTTTGCGGCCTTTCTTTTTCATTATACCTAGTCTAACATTTTCCTCATACTGCCTTTTGCGTTCCAGAGCATCTTCTTTAGCTTTGGCTTCGTCAATTTCAGCTTGTAGTACCTGAACAAACTAATAAATAACAAGGAAAATTAATTGCATATTTAATAGAAGCAATCATATTCAGCAAACTACCTCGATATTTTAACAATATTTGGTGATTACGTGCTTATTTCTTTCCCAGCTAACATTAATTTCAGTTATAAAACTAAGCAAAAAACATCGTAGGTTTCAGTCATGCCAATAACTGGAATTAATTTTGGCCAAAAAAAAAGTCAAAAATAAATTCCAAAGAATATAAAGTAAAAACTGAAAAAAAATTCACAACAATTCCCACAATGAAAAATAAAAACCGATAATAGTAAAAAAACCTTTAAATCTTCGTAATTTTTAAAAAGAAATAATGAGTATCCATCTATAATAGTTTCCTTTAAAGCCGGAAGTCGACTTTCAGCATTCGGAAAAGCAGCAGCTATAAAAGCCTTTGAACAAGAGCACGACACAATTTCCTAAAATAAATTTTTTTCAGTCCTAACCCCACAAATCTTCAAAAAACATAAATTTTCTTTCATACACTGGCTTTATAAAATAGTTTGAAAGCAACCTATAATTTCTTCAGCAAAAGTTGAATTTTTATTCTCATTTATCTCTTCTTTCTTATGTTCATATCTCTCCCTCA